GAGCTGCCATTCGCACCATTCACACTGCTAATATGGGCTTAGAATTCACCAGGAGCTGCCATTCACACCAGAAGTTGGCTCCGCCCCCCAACCACCATTATGTTTGTCTATATTAGGTGGTTTTAAAAAAAACTAAAAAAAAAAAAATGAATAAAATAGTTAAGTTCCTTGGACTTGCACCCCTCTTTGTCACAGGTGCCTCATTTCAGGACCTATTTAACCTTGAACTTCAGAGAGCCCCAGATGGAAATTATTTTCCCCAAGTAAGTAGGTTAATCTCATAAGAACAGACATTAGGTTGTTGGAGTAGGACCGGCCACAAATGGGTCACATTGACATTGTGGCAGATCTATGCAATATTTGAAATAATTGAACATTTTTTTTATACATTATAGTGAACAAGCAAGGTCTTCATGAGTATATAGAACAATAAGGTATCAAAGCACAGACTGTCACATACCAGGTGCAACTTGAATATGTTAAGAGTAGAGATGCATAGACATTAAAAAGCATCATCTAAAACTATATATGTCACAGGTAGGCCATGGTAGAAAGTCCAGCTCCATGCCAGATGTATTCTCCCCTCTTTTTGTCACTAGGCTTTGTAGGTTGTGGTGGGTTTCCTGCTGCATTATTCCAAGGCTTTCAGGGTGTTTTGCTGTGTATCCTATGGCCACTTATATGCCATTCCGCAATGCCGCAGCCTACATAGCTTCGACCCCAGGTCTGAAAGGGAGCCCTTGCCTCATGCCCATGGTTCCTCCTACTATACCAAATGTGGACCCACGGGTTCTCTGAGTACTGGGCATCCCAATAGGTATATGGATGGCGTGTAGGAATTATCTTCAAGTGGGCTCCCAGCCCAGAAGAGGAACAGACAGCCAAGGCAGCAACATCGGTCAACTCTGCAGGCATTCTTGGCCTTGCTGGATCTCTAGCTTGGTGGCCAACTTGTATGTTCCATACGGTTGCTTAACCTCCAGTTGTCATTCTGCTATATGACGTCTGGTGGACCTAGTGGGGACCAGGATATTCTCATACGGTTGCTTAACCTCCAGTTGTCATTCTGCTATATGAAGTCTGGTGGACCTAGTGGGGACCAGGATATTTCCCATGGGTCCAAAAGGGGGGGGGGTTGTTACAGGTCCTCACATTGCCCCTCAGACAAGCCTCTCTCAATTGACACCTCCTACTATTTTCCCCCCACTTTTTTGCTCATCCAAGTATTTTCATGCTTCATGGATGATATTTGGACAAGCCAAACTGCCAAGCCAAGGCAGCAACATCGGTCAACTTTGCGGCAAAAGGTGTTTGCAGGTGAGGCTTACTGTAGAAACATTGCCAGAACGTTTGGAAATTTGCATCAAATCTGACATTGAAGGTAGCACTCCACTTCTAGCCCTCAAAGCCTTCTTTACCTTGCTCAATTGACACCTCCTACCTTTTTCCCCCACCTTTTTTGCTCATCCAAATCTTTTCATGCTTCATGGATGATATTTGGACAAGCCAAACTGCCTCATGAACATGTATCAGACAGCTCAAACTAATTTTTATATTTAGTTGAAATGTGGGCCCACGGGTTCTCTGAGTACTGGGCATCCCCATAGGTATATGGATGGCGTGTAGGAATTATCTTCAAGTGGGCTCCCAGCCCAGAAGAGGAACAGACAGCCAAGACAGCAACATCGGTCAACTCTGCAGGCATTCTTGGCCTTGCTGGATCTCTAGCTTGGTGGCCAACTTGGATGTTCCATACGGTTGCTTAACCTCCAGTTGTCATTCTGCTATATGAAGTCTGGTGGACCTAGTGGGGACCAGGATATTTCCCATGGGTCCAAAAGGGGGGGGGGTTGTTACAGGTCCTCACATTGCCCCTCAGACAAGCCTCTCTCAATTGACACCTCCTACTATTTTCCCCCCACTTTTTTGCTCATCCAAGTATTTTCATGCTTCATGGATGATATTTGGACAAGCCAAACTGCCAAGCCAAGGCAGCAACATCGGTCAACTTTGCGGCAAAAGGTGTTTGCAGGTGAGGCTTACTGTAGAAACATTGCCAGAACGTTTGGAAATTTGCATCAAATCTGACATTGAAGGTAGCACTCCACTTCTAGCCCTCAAAGCCTTCTTTACCTTGCTCGAACCCGAACCTCATTGAAGTCAATGGGGACCCGAACTTTTGGCCACAAAAATGCCTCTAAAAAAATCCTGGAAAGGGCTAGAGGGCTGCAAAAGGAAGTAAAATGTGGATGAGAGTAGGACACGTGCCCTGCAAACAAATGTGGATAGGGAAATCACTTAAAATAACATAAAAATTAAAAATACAGCTGAGCCATAAAATAGCACTAGATGGAATCTTTGATTTTAGCTTTGGAAGAACATAAATCAAAATCTAAAGCATGGCTGTCAGGAGGATCACCAGAATTATACATTTGAGAGAGGGTTGGAGTGCACGGTATTCTCTTTCATTGTTCAAACTGAGCTCAACTCCTGATGCTTTGAGAAAAGGCCTTCACAAG